AATTTCATTTTGAGTATTGAGTAATCTGGCCAATTTCTTGGTGTTCTTATGAAATAATGTTATTCAAAAGTTGAGATACGTAATCGTCTTTACATTTTGATAAAGTAACAATTAAATCTATTTGGTTTCGTTGAGGCTTCCGAATTAGATTTTTGAAATCTTGCATCCAAAGCCTCATTAAGTCGAGCTTATAAGCTTATGGCTTTGAGTTGATGTTTTTCTAGTCCTATAAAGCTAATTGCACATTTTTAGACTTGAGAGCTTATTCAACGTCTTAATTGCGATTAAGATCCGGCTAAAGAGCTTGTTTTAGCCGGTGTTTCTTAAGGAAAAACATAGGTCGTTAAAGCTTATTAACGACTATAATCAACTTGGTTTTATTCATTACGTTTACGTTATTGTAATCGATGATTAGTACCACCTTCTTAATCAAAAGTGACTAATGTTGGGTTTTTATTTATTTGCTTTAAGTTGATTTTAATTATATGCTTAGCTTAATTAATCAAATCCAAMCCCCCCCCCTTCGTATTTACTTTTATTYAGTCAACTTGTACTTGATTAGTTTGGCTATAATAAGTTGAAACCGAGTCTCTGTGAAATCGAACCGACTTACCGCTATTACAATTTTGGTTGTAATTTGCCGTAGTTGGAACTTATTATTTGTCGGACTCGGCATCCGTCAAGACCTAAAAAACCAATACCTAAGAACTGCCATAATAACAATTTAACAATGATATATCTAACAATGCCGATATTTAACCACACAAACAAAATTACTAGGAGTTTAAAACAATTTTTATGTACTTGACAATTCATAGGTCAGAAATTTAAACAACTTTTACATTAACAAAAAAATTAGGTTTTTTTATTGGTAATTAAATCAATAAAATGGTGTTAATTTAAGCAGATAAAGGTTTAAGAAGTGATCTTCATTCTTTGATCAATCCTAATTGACAAGTTCCACTAGATCAAACACTAATGAGAAACATCGCATCAACTTCCTTCCAAAGCACAATTCATGTTGCTTTGAGATTAGAAATGATCAACGATCCAAATACATTGTTTGACTTCTCACCTTAAACTCATATTTAGAAATGAGCACAATTCATTTTCAACAAACCATTGGACCAATTTTGCATGTTTACTCTAATATTTAAAAACAGATATTTAATAACCCTACAAAAAATAGTAAATATATAAATCAAGAAACCATAAACCAAGTGACAATTAAGAAAAATCAATCTTAATATCCAAAACGAAACCTTAATTTAGTGTTAGAAGAACATTGAAATCAAAGGAATGCATATCCAATTGAGGCTTCAATTTCAATTTCAAGTGCAACCAACATTGATTTTTAATCAAAATCCAAATGGAAATGTTAACACTCAAATCATCCAACAATACCCAAAAAAGATGACTAACAAAAAATTTCATCACAACAAGTACGTCTAATAGATGACCAAATTTAAAGATAGGAAGAGTATAGAACTGAAATCAAAGAGTACCACCTCGGAGAGCTTAGTTTCTAAAGCCTCGACTGTTTCTTCTACCTCTAGCCTTCTCGAATTTCCTGCCCTTCGCTCGCACATACGGCTTGGTGTGGCTGTGTGGCACACCAGGAGCCTTTCCAAAGTGTCGCACTGCTTCACGACAATTCTTTGGACCTCTTAGCAGAACCTGCAATGCCCACCCAATTGGATCATGTGTTAAGGAATGATGATGTGGGTTACTAGCAATCGACTTAAAAGCTATAAAAATATTTATGGTTAACCTTGTTTTAAGTGTGTAAAAAATAAGTTCAATGAAACATAAAGTATCAAATAATTGACCATGAACTGCCATAAAAGATTTTCAGAACAGAGAAAACACTGTTTCCCACAATCTAATGTGTGTCAACTAGCAACAAAATGAAATGGTATGTTAACAAATAAGATTAATACATGTATAAGAGGAAAACGCAAGCAACAATGCTTATGTTGGGCCAATAAAAGACAGTGTAGCATATTAGAGCATCTCCAACAAATTCCCTAAAATTTCTCCAAAATAAAGAACTAAAAGTCAAAATCTCAAAAGAAATCACATTTATCAACAAAAGATTCCCCATTTGGAGAATCCAACCTAGATTATAATATTAAAATATTTCATTTTCTATTATTATTTCACTCCCAAAATATTTATTTTCAAAGTTCCCTATAGGTGGTCTCAAATGGTAATTATTTCAGGGGTGTTCTCCATATTTGAAGAAAAAACCCTTCTCTCTCCTACTTTCTCCATTTTGGAAATGGTTTTAGGGATGATGTTGGAGTAAAATATTAGCTCAAAATCCCCATTTTGAAGAAGCTGTTGGAGATGCTCAAAGAGAAAATGTGAATGGAGTGTATGTGTGGTCATATTGTGAGAGAGATGATTAAGAAATAGGATTTGAAAATTAAGATTGATAAAAAAATATTGTTTTGGGTGCCATTTATGATGTTCTAATCATATCACAATGTGAACTTTTGGACACAAGTCAGTAGATGAAACTTGCATGTCCCTATATATGAATATTGTGGAAATATTCAAAATCTTTAAGTAGAAGATTAAAAAGGGCTTCTTCTAAGATTGTGCTTGTTCTCAACCAATCATGACCTAAGGCCCTAGAGGAGCACACCTTCGCAATTTCAGATTTGTTTCATCATGATACGTCCAACTAGCTTGAGATAAAATGTTTTATGTTGTTCTAATGTTTGGTTATATTCCATCAACAATATTTTCAAAGGTTCGTCTAGCTGAGAAACAAATGTTTGGGTTATTATGCATCACAATCTCTTTCTTTCACCCGATTATATCACAATGAGTTACACTTAGCAGCACATTTGTGGCATATAAAATTTCGAACATGTTTCTTCATTGTTACTTGGTTGTTTCAATTTTTCATAGCACCAACTTTTCATTGAGTTATATACTAACATGTTGAAGCAAATAATTGTAAAACACAAGTGCATAACTGCACAAATGCACCTCAAGGTAATAAAGTTGTTTACTTGAGACGTTTGTGAATAAGGGAATAAAGAACATACAGTGTTCTGTCCAAGAGGAGCTCTAAGAGCCAGTTGGTCAAATGTCAAGCATTCTCCACCAGCTTTCTCAATCCTTGCCCTTGCAGTCTCAGTAAACCTCAAAGCAGTAACCTTCATACAAGGGATCTCATGCACCCGAACATCATCAGTAACTGTACCGACAATCACAGCAATCTTGTCCTCCTGACGTTATAAAACCAACCATTACAATTCATTATAAAATATCGTAGGCAGCAACTCATAAGAAAATATAGATAACCATGTATATAATCTAAGTAGTATATGAAACCATATCACAATGTATATTTCCTCTTTAACTTTTTTATGCCAAAAGCAAAATAGCATATAAACAGAAGTTAGACCGGCGTTTTATACAATAATAATGGTTCGAAATTCGAGCAAGTACCTATACATGTAGATACGGCATTAAAACGTGTTTGCAGGTAAATCAAGTAAAATGCTAGCAATAGAACGATATAATCAACATGTATATATGTTTGTAAACCAATTTAAAACAAATACCTTGCCAGACATGTAACGAATCAACCGAGATAAAGAAATCGGAGGTTTATTAATTTTGCTCATGAACAGCCTCTTCAATATCACAGCATTGAAGTTGCTTCCTGTCCTCCTCACTAAGAACCGATAAAGCTGATCGAAACAATAAAACGACAAGCATATATGTCAGTATCTTCATTATTTAAAAAGGAAAGCAATAAAATGTACTTGAGGTAAGTGAATACCTTGACAAGGAGCTTGAGGTAGATATCATCGGATCTAGGGGCGGTTCTTTTGGTCTTCTTGCTCTTTCCACCTGCAACTAGATCTATACCCTAAATCACAAACATTAAGTGAATTAGCGTGCAATAGTAAGAAGATAGAATCACAGAGGAGAATTAGGGTTGAGGAAAATCACGATACCATGGGGACGGCGGTTGCTGGTACCTGCAAAAAGAAAAGGTGTGCCCAGGGGAAGGGGGAGTGAAGCTAGGGTTTATGAACACAACGCGAACGTTTGAGTGTATGTCAATATAACACAAACCCGGTTTGGGCTTTAGCGAACAAGCCCACTTTAACAGTGGTTATCGGAGCCCATTTGTTTTTGGTGCTAAAGCTTGATAGGAGTTTGCTTACTTAGAATGATTTCTAAAGACTAAATAATGAAATTTGTCAAAAATAAATTAGAATGGAATGTTTGATTGTTTTCAGCTTTCATCAACTATTGGATTGATATGATGTTGTAATGTGTCAAATGAATTGAAATTTGTCTGTTTAATTTATAAAATAATTAGAATGAAATATTGGAAATTGACAAAAATGACCTTTCTTTGATATATTTTTTTAATCTAAAAAAATATATAAATTATCATTGTTTCCATGAATTTGTTTTTAATTTAGATATTTGAATTATAATGAATAAAAAAATTTAAAAAATATTTGACCAAGTTTTACCCTCTTCTTCCCCATCATAATCCCTTTTTTCCAAGAGTGGGTCCATTTTATCTTCCCCATTGGTAACAAAATCCAGAGGAAGTAGGAATAGTAACGATAACAAACTTGATAAAGAAAAACGATGAAGCATAAAATAGTAGTAGTAACAAAACCGATAAAGCATAAACAATAAACGTAACAACATCGATGAAGAAAAATAATCCAGAGGAAGCAGTAACAATAACAAAATTGATAAAGAATTCGAGATCGTAACCCACATATTCAATCAGTAGAGACAATCCAGAGTTGGAAGTCGATAAAGCAACAGTCTAGAGAAAGCAGAGAAATAAGTCGATCGGTGGAGACAGTCCATATCTACGATTGATGGAGTAGAGAAACCAGAGGGTGAGGAAACGATCGATGAAGCAGATAAATAACGTAAGGCTAGGGTTTTATGTTTCAATGAGGGTATTTTTGTCTATTTTAAAATATTTGTTGGAATGGATTTCAATTCAATCTCTTCTGTAAAATAATGTTGAAATCCACATTTGAATGAATGTCTATGATTCAATTCCATTTCATGGCTAACCAAACATCGGAATGAAGTTTGGTTAGAAATTAACCATTCTGATTATGTCGGAATCCGATGAACCAAACCTCCCCTTAAAGATGACTAAAAATTGGTTTATGGGCTGGGTTGTTTCAAATCGGTCCCTTTAAAATTGGGTTGGCAGGTCGTTGTCCTGACCAAAAAACCTATGATCGATCTAAGCCCGGTTACCATTTATGGTCTCTGTCTCATCAAGTCGGTTGCAAATCCTGTCAAGGGTCCGACATGGTTTTTGAAAATCTTAAATTTATTTTTACACAAAAAATGTTATATTTGTTAAGAATTACTACTTATGAGTTTTAGCATTGTAATACACCTTAAATAATACATTAAATGGATAAAAAACTTAAAAAACTTGAAAATCTTTTAAAAATCTTATAAAAATTTATGATATAATTTATAAAAATTCTTTTTTATTTAAAAGTCGGGCTTAAACATGACCGGTCTCGAGTAGGGCCTTGAAATTCCATAAATAATGTAAACGGTCCAGCCGTCTAGAACCGTCAGTCCATAACCAGTCACAATCGGTCATGGGTCGGGTCCAGTTAGATCTTCTATTGTTCTCTACTAGGATTTACCAAAACAACCTTTGATGTGTTAAATTGTTGACCAAAATACCTAAAACCATATCAATGTGCACGAACATAACGTTTTATACTAGCCTTATAAATTATTTAAAATAATATGTTAATTACCAAGGTAACTGAAAAAATTATAGAATGTCATATTTTACAGATTTAGAGAAGTTTTTGAACAACTGTGGAAATGTAGAAGCAATGCATTAAGTTTTTTAATCTTCTTGAAATGATTGTTATTAAATTAATATTTATAAAACAAAATGTGTACAGCTAATTGAACAGTGCTACCATGTAGCATAATTGTATAACGTAAGAGTTTATACTTCAAACCTTGCTTCATATGCTGTATAAAAAACATGATCTCATTTAATCTTGTTGACAAAGACCACCCTTTGGTCTCGTAAAGGTATATTTCTCCAGCGTCTACCTAACGCCATGATATTGTGGCTTATTGAGGCATATGCCTATTGCAACAAAATATCGTATGTATGCACGTGGGCTTACATTAAATCATACAACCTAATGAAAATGATGTGTTCTCATGTACAAAGTGTCGGGGACGAATGTGCAATGTAAATACCACTTCATGATAAAATAAAACCACACAAGACGTGAGATATTGATGTTGTTTTGTAACTGGCCTTGTAAAGTTGCCCCATGACCTCATAATAATGGTCATCGAGATGCATCTCATGTGCTTTTTGAGCTACAGTTAACTATGTGACGTAATGCCTCTTAATAGGAATGCACCTACCGAGCAACATCCCAAATCCATCTTTGGTTACACAAACGACTCTTGACCATTATTGTGCAATGAGAAAGGCATAGTGATCATATGATGTAGCCATATCTATACTATCTTATAAAGCATTTGGCTAAAACTCTTAAAACCGTTCAGCCCTAAACGATTTCATCCCATATATGAATTCATGTAACTAACTGCAGATAAACACAATCAAATACAGAATAAACATCTTATTTTAAATGTTAAAAATCTAAAATATAATTAGTATAATCATTAATTATAACA